CAAAATATATCTTGGAAAAAAAAAAGAAAATGTCAAGAATCTAAAAAAAAAACAAAACAATAATTGAAAAAAGTTGGAAAGAAGAGAGTCTTTCAGTACCAGATGGCACACTATATCACAAAGTGGCAATCACTGAAATCATTTGGTACTGATTTTAGAAAAAAATATATGATCAAGAGTAGAGGAGACTAGTACTGAAGACCCAGAAGCAGTAGAACATAGTGTTTTATTGTTTAATAACCCCAGGGATTTAATTACTGGGGTAAGCACTCTACTCAACAAAAGGTACTGGGAAAATCAGAAAGCTGTTTGGCAGAAATTAGGTTAAGATTCAAGATTTTAACCGTAAGCCTCAATAAAAGCCCAAGCGATACCTGGTTTAGATTTAAAAAAAAATCTTATCATAAACTAATTAGAAATGCAAAGAAGGAGATTCCTTTCACAGCTTTGGACTTGGAGAGAGCTCTGGACCCACCAGGGATAGGGAGGAAGGACTGAATGAATGAATGAAACATTGCCAGCTCTCAAGAAACTTACAGGCTAATAGGAGACACAGTGTATTTATCTATGTAATTGAAACTGGCCTGGCCCTCACTGCCTAAAGGCTAGATATGTTACATCTCATTCCAAGGCTCTCTAGTATGCTTAAGGGGGTTTGGAAAGTGTATGGACTCTCTGCCATTGAGTCCAGAAATTGGGGTGTTCCCTTCAATTGCAGGGGTCTCCTGTACCCTGGTTCAATTTAAACCCCAGGCACATTTCTTGGGGGCTACAGGGTCTAAAGGAGAGAGTGGGAAGAAGCATGCCCTTCTCTCCTTACTTGTTCAGCTCATGACTTTTGTGTTGAAGGTTAAACTTTACCCTTTCTGGAAAGAGAGTGAGAATTTCCCAGGCTGGAAGTTTGAAAGAAAGAGCTTATTCTAGCCACACAGCCAATCTAAGGAGACCACTTTCATGCATGTGCTAGATGAAAGCAGCGTGTTTTCTCCCAGAAGCAGGATGCCTCCATGTTAGGAGATCTGGGAAAGCTCCAAAGTCACCATTACATATAGAATAGATATAAACAGGGCAAATATAAAGCAATTAAATACGAGGGAGTTAGGGAGGAAGAGTACTAGCAATTGGGGGGCAGGAATAAGGAAAGACTTTTTTCAGAATGCAGTATTTGAATAGCCTTATGAAGAAAGAAAGGAATTCTGTGAGACAGAGGTGAGGAAGGAATGCATTCCAGCATCCAGATATGGGTGTGTGTGTCAGGGAAGGGTGACCAGTGCAAATAACTCTTGACTCAAGTGTAGTGAGGACCTTATGTTCTGGGGCATTAACTTTAACTTATGAAAAGCTCTAAATAGCATTTCTTTGTGGTTTCATCCTCCTAGTTAAAGGCTCAGAAAATACTGATGAAGAGGAATTTTATTGAGTTTGTTAAGGTCCCATGCATGATATGCCAAGACATTTTATCCAAGAGGGGTAATGGGCCTCTGCCCTTGCATGGCCCTGTTATAATATCTCTGAGTGCTTTGCCAGGCAGAGAAACTCTAAGCACATTGCAGATCTGAAGAAATGATACAGTGAAACTCACAGTGGGGAATGGAGAGAATCTGGAAAATAAGTTTCTTGGGAGAAAAGTGATTTGTACATTTTAAAGTGTGATCCAAATGGGAATTATCATGGTTACTGTTAATAGAACTTTGAAAAACCAGTCCTCCAATGCCTATTGCAACATGCAGGTGACCCTGAGTAATTCTAGCAAAGTTAAAGCTTTAGCAAGTTTGATCATACCAGGTAAGGTAAGTGAAAAGCTGATCCTGCTGTCTGAGGATGAGCCTTGGGAAATACCCAGTCTCTTGCACCAAGCCCCATTTCCCTCCACCCTAGTTCAGGCACATCTGCCCTCCTGCCCAGATTATTGCCCCAGCTTTCTGACTGGTCTTCCTGTATCATGTCTCTTTCCACTCCACTCTAGCCTACACATTATTGCCAAAATCGTTTGCCTTAAGAGTAATCCCTAAATGGCAGTGGTTCCTTGCTGCCTCTATGACAGGGATTTTTAACCTTTTTTGTCTCATAAACTCTTTCAGCAGGTGAAATCTATTGATTCCTCAGAATAATTATTTAACAAAATCAAAAACTGGAAGAAATGAAAAATTTCAGTTAGTGAAAATAAGGAAGCATTTTTCCCCATCAAAGTTCATAGACTCTCCCTTGAAACTTATCCATTTATAAGTTTTATATTTTGGAGAGGCAGTGTATAGACATGGGTTAAGAAGCCTTGTTCTTAGATAAGCTCCTTGAGGTCAAAAATTGCTTATTGTGGAATATATGGTGTGTGTGTGTGTGTGTGTGTGTGTGTGTGTGTGTTTGTATAATATGTATTCTCTGGTCCTTTCTGTTATTGACAGGTAGGCTACAATTCTCCTCAGGCTTCTAGGACACTCCTTAGAATTTTAAAGAGTTTTTTATTTTCTCTTGCCATTGGCTTGATCCCCTACTGGCTGTGTGTCCCCATTTTCGTGGGTCGATGGCTGGTATCCCCAGTTCCATTTAATCACTTAACAGTGAGTAACTATTACAAATATATACTTCAAGATAGAGTAAAAACAAATATACCAACATTGCTCCCAATACCTCCTTGCCAAATTTTCCCCACACCACCTTGGTGTCTGAGTTTGGGTTGGGGATTAGGCTTATTATAATTTAGCTTAGTTCCTACATAGCACCACCAAGTTCATGTGCAGATGCAGCATGATTACTAGACTAGCCTTCCATTGAGTTGTAGTACCAAAGGTCACTGCTGGAGATCATTTCATTGGCTGAAAAACTTTGTCTGAATTCACACTCCTAGATTTCTGTGGCTCACTTTTTCCAAGGTTGTAGACTCCTCTCCTTGCTCTTAAAGTGGAAAGAAATGAATGAGAAGGCCAAGGAGATCCGATTTCTCTGGTAAGCCATTTGACCTCAGAGGCGAGAGGGCCAAGGCTCTTCCCCTTACGGCACAATCTCTCACTGGACACCATCAACCATCCAAGCACAGCTGAAGACAATGAGGAGAAGGAAAGCTGACTCAAGCCTTTTGGAAAGACATGAACAGTTCTGGTGATCTGGCCAAAAGAAAAAGGCTTTTCTCAACCATGCAGCCAACCACCTGGAACCAGTTACAGAATGTCTCCACAAGACACTTCATTTACACATCATCACGATTCTCCAGGAAGAAACTTCCCCATGTTTTCCACATGGAGAGAGGTCATCTGCTTCCTGACATCCTTCATGTGAAGGCACCATCTGAGGCACTTTGTGCCTGTCCCATACCCCCATTACATAGATACTATATTATAGGTTTTAAGAGGTAATGTCATATGGTGGATAGAAAGCCAGTCTCAGGGCCATGAAGACACGAGTCCAATTCTCACCTCTTCCATTTACTGGCTCTATGATATCAAGCACTTTAATCTATCCATTGCTCTAGGTCAAACTTCTGTGAAGTTTGGGTTCAGTCAAAGGGCTGTACCTGAGGAACTCAAGGGCCATAGGTGGCCTCAAGGCTGAAGGTTCTCCACCCCTGAACTAGGTAAATCCCTCCAACTCTCTATGTAGAGACTGTGAACACTTGCCTAGTTAGAAGGAGTTTCATCATTCAAGATTTCCTATACAAATGAAACTAGAGGTTGAGTCTCTATCCCTAGAAGGGGCTTTAGCACTCATTTAACTCAACTCCTTAATTTAACAGAGGACATGACTGAGGCTCAGAAAAGGGGAAAAACTTGCTCAAGGTCACATTAGTAGTAAGTAATAATGGAGCTTAGAATGACACGGAGGTCCTCTACTCCAGATGCAGGGCTCATTCTCATACGTTACTGACATTCTTTCAGCAAACACATATGAAGCACTTACTATATGCAGATGTCTGTGCTACATGCTGGGCCATGATCGATGGCTTTCAGTTTTCCCTGGTAGCTGTCCTCCTGGTATTTACAGTTTAGTAAGTGTTAAAAGACATGGTGAAGACTCTTAAAACGGTTTTACAAGAGAGCCTCTTTTTTTTTTTTTTTTGGAGGCAGATAGTAGAGCAATGGACCTGGAGTCAGGGAGACCTAAGGTCAACTCCTACCTTAGACACTCACTAGCTGTATGACCCTAGGCAAGACTCTTAACCGCTCTATACCTCAGTCTCCTCAACTGTAAAATGGGCATGAGAATAACACTACCTGGCAAGGTTATTATGAGGATCAAATGATATAATATTTGTAGAAAGAGCTTAGCATAGTACCTGGCACAGAGTTGGTGCCATATAATTGCTTCCTATCTCCCTCCCTCCCTTCCCTCATTTCTAAAGTGCTATTTTAAATGACTAGAATAGCTCTCCCTCTTGAATTTGCTCTCTCTTTCAGATCTCCCAGGAGTGCGACTGCGTTTTCTGAAGTGTTCACATCTATAGGATAATAGAGCATTTGCCAAATTTTCTTCGCTCTTAGGGAACCTGCAGAGCCCAGGCTGAGAGCCCAGATGACCTCTGAATTTCCTTCCTAACCTATAATTCTGACAGACTAGTCCTTCAGACAGACAGACAGACAGACAGACATGCGGGCAGGCAGACACACAGACTCGGAGCTCGGGATGAGCGCATCACACTCGCGGGATGCAGGATTCGCTCTGCCCGCCCCCGCCCTGCCCCCATCCTCCCGGACTCCACAGCCCAGTGGGTCTGGGCTGCAAACTTTGGGCCAATCAGAGCCCAGCATCCTCAGGGCCGCCGGCGGGGGCCTCCTCCTGGCTGAGTCGCAGCTGTAGCCGGGACCGGGGGCCCTTGTCCGGAGCCAGAAGCCGCGGTCGAGCCGGGCCGGGGCGCGGAGCGGCGCGGGGCGTGTGGGCAGCCGCGATCCGACGGCGCTGCTCTGTGGGCCCCAGCCCCCGTGGCCGTGGCCGTGGCCGTGGCCGTGGCCGTGGCCGTGGCCGTGGGAGGAGCGCGGCCCAGGCCGGTCCGGGCTCTCTCCCCCGGGACCATGCTGGGCATGTATGTGCCCGACAGGTTTGCGCTCAAGTCTTCCCAAGTTCAGGACGGGATGGGGCTTTACACGGCCCGAAGAGTGCGAAAGGTGGGTGCCCGACCCCTGCCCGCCCGCTTCCTTCCCTTCCTCCTTCCTTTCCTCTGTCCCTGTCTTCCCTGCCTCCTGCTTCCGCTGCCCACTCCCAGGAATGGGAGCCTGCCCCGGAGGAGGAGACTGAGTGCGTGAGGCCGCGCAGGCCAGCCGGGCTGGAGGGGCTCCCGCGAGATGCCGCCCCGGGCTGAGGCCCGACCTCTGTGCCAGCCCCGGCGTGCCACGTAGGAGGGGGCTGCCGCGCCCTCCCGTCTCTCGGGTCCAGCTTCCGCACGTTTCCACGGAACACACTTCGCCCTGGCGTCGGTCACCAGAGCCTTTAACTTTCTCTAGTCTCCAAGTATCAGGAGGAAAGGCTTCTGATTAGAGAAGGAATCTGACGTTCTAGGAGGAAATCAATGAGCAGTGCTTGCTTATCTGTGTAGTAAGTGGCCAAAAAGCAGGCCTGGAAGCCAAGTAGGCTTGGATTCAAGTGACACCCCGACCACCTCGTGCTCTCACAACTCTGAGAGTCTAAGCTGAAAAGGTGCTGACCTGCAATGGTAGGAGTTTCCTCCTACCTGGGAGTTCCCTAAACTAGTTAAATAACCGGCATAGCACCCATCCTTAATTAGTTGGCTAAGATACAAAATGATGCCTTCTCCATCCTCACGTGGGAACACCACACACGTATCAGCAGATATGAAGGAAATACAGATACAAGGGCCGGGGGATGGGGTGGAGGGCGAGAGAGCAGCAAGGACCATCAAAGAATGTGAAGTCTGGAGTTGAAATGAACTTCGAAGGAGTCTAGGGATGCAGAGCGACCTTATTGCAAAAGGAAAGTAAGAGGAAGGGGAAAGAGGCCGAGATTTATTGTGAGAGGACCTAGGTTCAAATCTCCACATACTGCCTTGGTGACCTGTGGTTTAACCCATATGGTACATCCTATCTCCCCGTCAGGGTGCCTGCTGCTTCAGCCTGGCTGATTTGTCTGCCCTCTTGTAAGGAAGACATAGCCTTGAAATCCACCTCAGATGCTAACTAGCTTGGGGATCCGGGGCAGGTCAGTCACTTAATTTGTCTCAGCCTCAGTTTCTTCATCTACAAAATGGGAATAATTATAGTCCCAATCTCACAAGGTTGTTGCGAGACTCAAACGAGACAATATATAAATTCTTCCAGTTAGCATTTAAAGTCCTCCACAGTCTGGCTCTTGACCATCTAATTTCATATTACTTCTTCTCCTTATGCACTTTTTGTGTCAGCCAGATCAGTCTACTTGTTTCTCATACAAAGTACTCCATCTCCCACTTCCATATCTTTGCACCAGCTGTGCTTTATGTCTGCAAAACTCTCTCCTCATCTCCGTCTCTTGGAACACCTAGCTCCTTGCAAGATTCAGCTCAAATTCCAATTCCTTGGAGACTTCTTTCCAGATTCCTTTAGTGATTAGTGCCCTGCCCTCTAATCAAGGTATATTTATTTTGTTTATAACTGGTTTTTACTTATTTGTGAACTTGGAGTTCTCCTAGTAGAATGCACACTCCTTGAAGACAGGGTTGTCTCATTTCTGTATTATCACCTTCATTTTCCAGAATACTTCCTGTCCCATGGGTGCATAATAAATATTTGTTGATTGAATGACATTAAATGTGATTGAAAAATCTTAAAGAACTAGGTGAATGGCAGTTATGAGGGTGCTGATGGGGAAGCCCTGGGAGAAACTCACCAGTGGGAGAAGGGGGCTGGAGGGTGGAGGGATGTTCCAGGGTGAGAAATCCCAGGGCAACAAGACAGCTGAGGCATTTGTTAGCTGTCATTTTGTGAAGTCATTTAACCTCTACTTTGTTTTCCTCATCTGTAAAATGCAAGAGATGGACACGATAACCTCTCAGGTCAAAATCTATGATATCATCATCACCATCATCATCATCATCAGCAGCAGCAACATCCTCATTGGCAACATTCAGAAGATAAGTTGATGGGAATGCTTCATGAATTGTATGCTTTGTTCTAGTAAATCACAGATATTAGCCCCAGTCTCAGTTCTTGATGCAAAGAATGAGTCTATCAAGAAGGAGAATCTATCCAGAAGACCTTTCAACCTATTTTTGTGTGAGAGAAGGCTGACTTCAGAGCACAGGAAGCCAGGTGGTCCCCTGGACCAGGGATTCTTGGGGCTTTTCATTACTATCTCTTCCACTTTTCACTTCTAAGCACATGCTTTCTCACATAGGATCCATCCATCCATCCATCCATCCATCCATCCATCCATCCATCCATCCATCCATCCAT